TGTGTATTCTTCCCATTGGTCTGTTCCTCTAGAAAACTCTGTCTAATACAAGTATAGTATGGCCATTTCCAGAGTATTCTGCCAGTTTTGTCAATGAGAGGCCTTTCCATCTACTAGTATCTTCAAATTTTCAGTGTTTTAAAGTTTTCATTCTAAGAGTCTTTCACTTCGTTGTTTAGGTTTATTCCTAGGTATATTTTAAGCTGTTATAAATGTGATTTTTTTCCCAATTTCTTCATCATCAAGTTCATTATAGATACTTAGAAAAACACACTTACTTTATTTTATTTTATTTTATTTTATTTTATTTTATTTTATTTTATTTTATTTTGCTTTGTATGGTATTGATATCTGGAGTCTTGGGAGGTGAAGGCAGAAGACGAGAGTCCAAGGCCAGCCTTGGCTACAAAATGAGTTCAAAGCCTGCCTTGGCTGTATGTATGACAGCCTCTCTCAGGATGGTCATGTGGAGCATGTCTTTAATCCCAGCGCTCAGGAGGCAGAGGGAGGAGGATTTCTGTGAGTTTAAAGCCAGCCTGGTGTACATCACAAGCCCAGGACAGCCAGGGGAGGGGAAAAAAAAAAAAAAAAAGATAGCCTGTCTCAAAAAACAAAATAAAGAAAAGAGAGAAAAAGGAAGGAAAGTGTGTTGGTTGGTTTTGTCAGCTTACGACAAACCTAGATGCATCTGGGAAGAGGACTCCCGACAGAGGAAGTGTCGGCCTGTGGGAAAACCTGTGCAGCGTTTTCTTGATTGGTGTGTGATGTAGGAAAGCCCAGCCTGCTGTGGGTGGTACCGCCCCTAGGCAGGTGGTCCTGGGAAGTCACAGGGAGCAAGCTAGTAAACAGCCTTCCTCCCTGGTCTGCTTTAGTTCCTGCCTCCAACTTCCTGCCTTGAGTTCCTGCCCTGCCTTCCCTTTCTGATGGACCCTAAGTTATGAAGTGAAATAAACCCTTTCCTCCCCAGCTTGCTTTTGGTCAGTGTTTTCGTCACAACAGAAACCTAACTAGGACGGGAGAGACACTGACGATTGTATTTCCCGACATTCTGCTGAGAGCCTTTATCTGAGCTTAAGTGTGCAGGTGGAGTCTTGAGGGTCTTTGAAGTAGAGGATCTACAAACAGGATTAGTTGACCCTTTCCTCCTTGCGGCCTCTTTATTTCTTTTGTTGCCTTTATTGCTGTAGTGGAGCCTTCAAACAGCAAATGTTTTGTTTTTCCTTTTAATATAATTGTTGGCAATACTTTTGTCATACACAGCCTTATTATTTTGAGTTATGTTCTGGTTTCTTCATGGCTTTGAAAAACATTTTAATTGTATTTATTGCACACACACACACACACACACACACACACACACACACACACACGAAAGCCAGAGGACAATTTGTAGGAGTCAATTCTCATTCCACTATTCAGGTCCTGGAAATCAAACTCGGGTTGTCAGGTTTGGTGGCCAACATCCTGGCCCCTGAGCCATCTAGACAGCCTTCTCTGCAACTATTGGGATGAATATAGAATTTCTGCACCTGAGTCTCATGATTCCCTGTATTAATTTTTAATTTGCATATGTTGAAGCATCCTTGCATGCCTGGAGTGAAACCAACTTGGTGGTTATAACCTTTTTAATGTGCTATTGAATTCAGCTTGCAAATATTTTATTGTACCTATGTTCATCAGGGAAATTGGGCCATAAGCTTTTGTTGTTGTTAAACTCAGTTTTATTTGATGTGTGTGGTGTTCTGCCTACATGCATATTGCCTGTGAGGGTCAGAGGCATCAGATCCCCGGAACTGGAATTATGGAAGATTGTGAATCACTCTGTGGGTGCTTAGAACAAAGCCTGGGTCCTCTACAAGAAGAGCAATTGCTCTTAACCACCGAGTTATCCCTCCAGCCCGCCTTATGGGATGGTTGCTGTCTTCTGGGGTTTTAACACCAGGGTGATACTGGCTCCATGGACTGAGTCTGGGTAAATGAGGATGTCAGTGCTCTACTTTTGCCTATCTGGAAGATTTTAGTTGTGAATCCTTTTAGTCTTGGCTTTTCCTCACTCAGAATAATTTTTTTCTCTTTCATCCTCATATCATGACAGATTTAGTTAAGTTTTTAAAAATATTTTTATTTGTTTTTATTTTATGTGTATTGGTGTTTTGGTCTGCAAGTATGTCTGTGTGAGGGTGTCAGATCCCTGGAACTGGAGTTACAGACAGTTGTGAGCTGCCATGTGGGTCTGGGAATTGGACCTGGGTCCTCTAGAAGAGCAGTCAGTGCTCTTAACTGCTGAGCCATCTCTCCAACCCCTAGTTAAGGTTTTATGTCCTGTTTTAATAGAGGTATATCATATGTGTCTAGGAATTTGTCCATTTCTTCTAGCTTTTCCAGCTTTTTAAAATATAAACTTTATAATATCCCCTCACAATCTTCTGGATTTCGTTTGTATCTGTCGTAATGTCTCCATTTATCATCTATAATTTAAAGTTTTCTTTTGGTTAGTCTGACTAGGACTTTAGTGATCATCTCTGCCCAGTAGCCCACTCTTTGTTCCACTGATATTTTTGCCTTGTTCTTTTAGTCTCCATTTCATTCATTTATATCATGATCTTTGTTTCTTCCATGTACTACCTTTGCATTTGGCTTGTTTTTCTAAGATATTGAAATGCACCATTAAGTTATATAGTTGAGACCTCCCTTAATTTTTTGTGTTTTTGAGGCAGGGTTTCCCTGTGTAGCCTTGGCTATCCTGGAACTCACTGTGTAGACCAGGCTGGTCTCAAACTCAGATATCCACCTGCCTCTGCCTCCCGAGTGCTGGGATTAACTGTGGGAGCCACCACGCCTGGCACCAAAATGACAGGAGTGGGGGGTTCCTGGGATTTAGTCATTTCTCTAAAAAACGTTCTCCAAAATTACACTGAGTGTTCAGTCTCCAAAACGAACAGGCCTCTGCCTTGTGATCCTTACAAGGCTAAGATGAGCATCGTAGGCCAGAGAGTGGTTCAGTAGACAACAGGTGCCTGCTGCCAAGCCTGAAGACTCCAATTCCTGCCCTGGGACCTGCACGTTGTTCTGTGACCTCCACACATGCACACACACAATAAATACAAGACCAGTGTTGCACAGCCCATGACCTCCACACATGCACACACACAATAAATACAAGACCGGTGTTGTACAGCCCATGACCTCCACACATGCACACACATAATAAAAAATACAAGACCGGTGTTGTACAGCCCATGACCTCCACACATGCACACACACAATAAATACAAGACCGGTGTTGTACAGCCAGGATGTCCATTCTCCTCTCCATCTAAAGCACTCATCCTTGCACACCCCCT